AGCACTCTGCAGGCAATGGGAAGGTGGGCTGGGGGGGTCCAACCCCCACCTCCCCCTAAATCTGTGTGTGGAAGAAGGCCCCACAGCGTGCCCAGTATCTGCCCAGCCCCTCACCTCTTTCCCTGCTTCCCTCCGCTCTTGGGGTTGACGAAGACGAGGAGTGGGTGGGTGTCGGGCACAGGGCTGACCTGTGGGTTTGGGGGAGGGGGGGTTGAGTGCCAGGCATGGCCCCATAGGGGGACACAGATACGTGTGGGGGCACAGGGGTAACAGGGGAGCGTGTCTCACCCGCAGCGCCTGTCCTTCGGGAGTGGTGAAGACCTGTGGTCCGTCCTCACCCAGTGTCCCACTCTCATCCTTTTGGCTGTTCTGCCGCTCCTGCACCCCCAGCAGGGAGGTGACACCCACGTCCCCAAACAGGGACATCCCTCATTCCACTAAATCCCCCCCCCTTCCCCTGAGCTCACCAGCACCACAGGATAGATGGCGGAGGGGGGCAGGATGTGGTCCCTCAGCAGCCCACAGTCACAAGCAGGGGGCACAGCGGGCTTGCAATCCTCATGGATCTGGGGGGCAGAGACCACGTCCAGCCACCCCATCCCTTGGGGATGGATGGAGGAGACGGGGACCCCCCTGTGACACCAACCAGCACCACGGGGGCCCACATCCCCTCCACCCATCCCCACCTTGAGGTGACACCAGACGCAGTGCAGCCCCGTCAGGCTCTGGAAGCTCTTGATTTTCTTCTGGCATTTGCCACACTTGCTGGCCTCGCAGCCCCCTTTCACCCAGACGTGGGCTTGGACCTGCGTGGGCAGTCATGGCGGGAGGTGGTGGGACAGACGGACGGAGGGACGGACAGACAGGAGGAGGAACGGGTGGGCAGGCGGACGGAGGGACAGCCAGGCGGGCAGGCAGCTGCACAGCTTGACAAAGGAGACGGATGGGCAAACGGACAGATGGACGGACAGAGAGACGAGCGGACGGACGGATCGCAGATGGAGCCACGGACAAACAGACCGGCAAACGGAGCAGGCGGGCGGGCAGACGGACGGACAAATGGATGGACAGACGGGCGGACAGCCGGGGCACTCACACCGGCCTCCTTGCGGGACTTGGCGTAGGTGCTGATGCAGCTGGGGGGGGCCTTGCGGGCGCAGCGCTCGTGGACCGTGAACTTGCAGACTGGGGGGCGCGGCCGTGAGGGGGCGGGGCTCGGCCCCTGCTCCCACCCCCCCAAACTGTCCCTCAGCCAATCGCAGCACGGCCCCCTCCGCCCCGGGAACCAATGGCAGCCCGGAGTTTCCCGGGTGGGTGGGGTTTCTGCAGTAGCCACGCCCGCTTTGGGCGCGGGGCTTCCTCAGCTGGAGGGGGCGGGACTTCCTGCGACACCTGGGGCGGGGGTCCCTCGCACCGCATCCCCACCCCCCAGCGCCCCCATCCCACCCAAGGGAGGGACGCCACCCCATCCTCGTCCCTGTCCTCACCCCTGTGCCCCCCCATCCCACAGCCACCCGTCCTCATCCCCAGCCCTCTTCCTGCCTCCCCCCATCACTGTCCTCCTCCCCATCCCCTCCCTGTCCCGCCTGCATCCTCACCCCATATCGTGTCGTCCCCCCCCCCCCCGCCCCCCCCCCGCCCCACTCACAGGTGCAGCACAGCCCCTGTTTACGCAGCCCGACCAGCAGCGTCTCGCACACGTTGCAGTAGGCGGGACGGTTGAAGTGTTTCAGGCGCCACATGTGCTGCCCATCATCCTTCATGTGCTGACAGGGTGGGGGACGGGGGGGTCAGGACAACCCCGGGGGGGGTCCCAGCACGGCGCACCCCCTGCACTCACCACCTCCAGGCCCAGCAGCACCAGCAGGGGGATGTTGGTTACACCGCCGCGCAGCCACTCCGCCAACGACACCGCGCCACTGCCATCATAGTCGATCTCCCGCATCATCTCCTGCAGGATCTGGGGGGGACGTGGGGCTCAGGGGGTCTGGGGGGGGGCACACGGTGGGGAGGGATGCGGGGCCACTCACCGGCTTCAGCTCTGTGACGTCCCAGTCCAGGTATTGGGCCACCCGCATCATCTGGGTGATGATCCGCTCCACCTCCTGCAGCACGGCGTGGCGAGGATGAGGGTGGGGGTGATGGCGGGGGTCCCAGATGCCCCCCCCAGCCCTGTCCCCTCACCGAGCTGTCCAGGAGCCCGTTCCCATCCTTGTCGTACAGCTTAAATGTGACTGCAGGGGGAGGAAGGGGCACAGCAGAGTCAGATGGCAGTGCTCCCCCCGGCCTCCTGGTGCCACACGACCCCCACTCACACTCCAGCTTGTCCTCGGGGCGCCCGCCCTCCAGCAGTGAGAAGTAGCAGGAGACATCGTTAACGCAGACGAGGTCAGCATCTGTGGGATGGATGAGGCTGAACCCACGCTCCCCCCCCGGGCCCGGCCCCACCCCCCCATTTCCCAGTCCCCCCCCCGTGTCCTCACCAGCACCCGGCTGCCCTGTGCTCTGGAAGGACCTGAAGAGGTGATGGCACAGCGTGTCCGGGACATCAGCTGCCTCCAAGTAGCTCCTCAGAAACAGCTTGAAGCCCTCGAAGTCCACGCACTGGGGGGGGCAGAGAGGGGCTGGAGGTCTGCGGGGGGGAAGCAAGCAGCCCCTGGGGTGCGGAGGGGGGCTCACCTCTCCCTGAAGGTGCTGGGACAGCATCCCGTCACCATAGAACTCCTGCAGCACGTCCTGCACCTTCCTGCTGCTGTCTGCGGGCACAGGCGTGGGCAAGGATGCTCAGGGAGCGCACACACGGCAAGGGGCGCGCGCACACCGTGCATGCATGCACACATGTGTGCAAGGCGCACCCACGGGCACGCACACGTTCACCTTGTGTGCCCACGGCTCCATCGCAGTGCACACGTGTGCGCGGCCGCCCCATGCGTGTAAAACCCCTGCCACGCACACGCACAAAGCCACGCACAGCGTGCAGCCACACCCGCGCACACGAGCTGCTTCTCCCCCCCCAACTCACAGTCCAGGTACTTCTGGAGCTGGGCGAACTCCTCGGGGCTCAGCGTGCCCCACTCCGCGCTCTCCTCCATTGCGCTGCCTGCGGGCGGAGGGAGGCGGTGGGGACACGGCGGGGGTCTCCCCGCTTTCTCCCCGCCCCGTTTGCCCCGGCGCAGCTCCCAGCACAGCCCCGCCCCCCCCCCCCCCCTCGGGCCGGGCGGGCGGCAGCTCGCTCGCACACGCACAGGTCGGGCTGCTCGCATCCTGCTGCCACGCATCCGGCCGCCTCCCACGCACCCCGCGGGGATGCGGTTCCCTCCCGGCCCCGCGCTGAGGCGGTGCCGGCCCCGAGGGCGAAGGCTGAGCTTTGCTCCCTGCGTGGCACCGGGCGGCAGATGCTGAGCGCGGCCCGGGAGCGGCGCCGGGCGGAGGTTGGGGGGAGGGGATGTGGGACACGGAGCGACAGCCGCAGTCCCCCGGGATCCCAAATGTGACCCAAAGGGGAGGAGGACGATGCGTGCGCGTCCCTCCTGCCGCCTCCCGGAGCACCCATGGGTGATCTCAGCACCACTCCCATCCCCTTCTCCCCCCGCACCGGGGCTGCGTCAGGAACCCGCGCTGGGGGAACCGAGCCGTGGTACGATGCCGGCCCCCCCGGCCCGAGGTCGGACACGGCCCCCGGGACCCCTCCCGGAGCGGCGGCTGGTTCCCTTATTTAGTAACGGGCAGGGAACGGGAACCGTGGGGGGGCTCGAACGACGGCACCCGCGCACGGCCCCTCTCCGCTCCCGAGACCCCCGGGCTGCGCTCTCTCCCTCGAGGACCCCGGGGCGAGGCGGCTGCCGTCGGATAGGAGGCACCGGGGCCGCCTCTCGCCGTGCCGGTGTCCGCGCAGCCCGGGGCGGCTCCGGGACGCGCAGGTGGGAGCGGCGGAGCCCAGCGGCGGGGCGGGCGGGGCCGGGCCCTTCGCTTTCCCCGTTTTCCTCCTCCCGGGCGGAGGAGGGACGGGACGGGAACGCAGCTCGGAGCTCAGCGCGCTGAGCACCGGGAAGCGGACCGGGAGGGGCGCGGGACCGGGCGGCGGCACCGAACCCACGCCCCAGGGTGCAGCCCGGGCCGTATCCCGCCGGTGCCGCTTCCCTCCCGTTCCCCGCGCGGTGCCGTCGGTTCAGCTCAGCCCGATGCGCTCCGCTCCGATCGGACCGAGCCCCGCACTGCCTGCTTCAGTTCGCTCCGGTTCGATTCCTTCCGATGCAGCCAACCCCGGTGCGGCTCATCCCGGTAGCACCGGTCTCGCCTCGCCCCGCCCCTCCCTCCCGGCGCCGTCCCGCCACACCCCCGGTGCCCGCCGGTACCTGCGGGGCTCCGCTCGGTGCCGCCGCTCGGTCCGGCCCCGTGCCCGCGCGCTGTCGCCGCGGCCCAGCCCCTCTGACATCACGGCTCGGGGCGGCACCGGGAGCACGTGCGGCGGGGGGGCACAGCGCCGGGGCGGGGTCCGCTCTTCTCCGCTCCCTGCCGGGCTCGCACCTGTCCCGCGCTCACGGGGGCCGCTTCCGTTGTACCTTAAAATCGGCCGGGGGGCTAGCAGGGGGGCTGGGACCGGAGGGGGGGGCAGAGAGGAGCGGTAAGGGGTAGAAGGGGGCACGTGTGGAAATCCCCGCGGCAATCGCAGCGCGGGGCCGGGCCGCATCCGGACTGCCCCGGGGGTGCGGCGCTGGAAGGAAGGGCAGTTTGTTCCCCCCCCCCCCAACAGTGAACCGCATGATGCTGCGGTGCGGGGAGCCCCGACCCTCCTTGTTCCCCGACGTGACGCCGAAGCGGGGCGGGACCGGCCCCGAAGGCTCGGTTGAGGCGGGTTATCCCCCGGTCACCCCGGTCCCGCAGCGCGGGCACTCTCTAGCCAGGCATCACCGCAGCAACCCCGCACCCAGCAACTCCGCACAAAACGGAGCGCTGCGCCTTTAAAAACAAAATGGCCGCCGCCGCCCGCGAATCTCCCCAATCCCCTGTCCGGACGCCGCGCCGCCACTTCCGGGGGCGGGGCGTGGGGGCCGGAAGTGTATCGCGCACGCAAGATGGCGACTCCCTATGTGACTGATGAGACCGGTGAGTGCGCCGCGGTGCGGGCCCGCCGCTGCGGGACGGGGTCGGGCGGCTCCGGCGCTGCGGAGCGGGGATCTGCAGGGCGCGGTGAGGCTGAGGCCGCGCCTGGGGGCGGCGGGGCGGCTGCGCTCCGCGGGGTGGGCTCCGTCCCTTCTCTCCGTGGGCTCGGTTCCGTTCTGCTTTTTCCCTGTGGGTCCGCGCCGCGGCCCCATCTCTGCGTGGCGTTTCCCACAACGCACTCCGTGGGCTCGGACCTCCCCCTACGTTCCCTGTAGGGTCAGATCTTCTTCCTATGTTTTCTCTGGGGTCAGATCTTCACCCTGAATTCTTTACGGGCCAGTATCTCCCCCCACACACGCTCTCTATGGGGTTACATCAGTCCCCCCATGCTCTCCGTGGGGTCACATCTCCCACTCCCGTGTTTACTCCCATCCTCCCATGTCCCAGCAGGGCCGGTCCCTTCCCTTCCCCCCAGAACGGTACCAGGTGCCGGGCAGCCCCCAGCCCCCGGGAGGAGCAGTCCCTTGTGCCCCCCACCCGACGTTGCTTTCTCCCCCATAGGGAAGTACATCGCCTCTACGCAGCGCCCTGACGGCACCTGGCGGAAGCAGCGGCGCGTGAAGGAGGGCTACGTGCCACAGGAGGAGGTGCCGGTGTAAGTGGGGCAGGCAGCCAGGTGTGGGGTCCTGGGGTGGAGCCCCATTGCTGGCATCAGGGCAATGGTGTCGGTGTGCCCAGGATCCCAAATTTGGGCACTTTGTGCTGTTACCTGCGCCCCGCTGGGGCTGTGGGTGCATGGCAAGGCTGGGAGACCCCAGTGTCTGTGAACCAGGTCACGTATTGAGGTCTCAGTCTCTTTCCAGGTGCCTGAGCACTTCTGACCCCCTTAGCCCTTAGCTGAGTCCTGATGGTACGTATCTGGCTGCTCCTCTGCGCAGAGCTGGGCTGAGCCACGGCCACGAGGACGTCCTGAGGAGCTCAGGGCAGTGCTGGAGCTGAGCACTGGGTCAGGGCTGTGCTGTGCTGATGGCGAGGACGGAGGTGGTGAGGTTTGCAGCTCCACGGGGGCAGCAGTGCCGTCACTGCATCTCCTCCCATGCAGGTATGAGAACAAATACGTGAAGTTCTTCAAAAGCAAGCCTGAGCTGCCCCCGGGGCTGAGCCTGGAGCCCAACGCCCAGGCCAGCAAGCAGCCCAGCAAAGCGGAGGGCGGGGAGAGCGGACTGTCCAAAACAGCAAAAAGGAACTTGAAACGCAAGGAGAAGAGGAAGCAGCAGCAGGAGAAAGGCGAGAGGGAAACAGACGAACTGATCCAATCGCTGGAGAAGGTCTCCTTGTCGGGGGGCAGTGGCGGGGACACGAGAGCGGCCGCACCGCAGCCGGCCTGCAGCGCCCAGAGCTCCGCTGACGGGGAAGCCGCAGCCTCAGAGAAAAGCAAGAAGATCAAGAACCTGAGGAAGAAGCTGCGGCAGGTGGAGGAGCTGCAGCAGCGGCTCGACTCTGGGGAGATAAAGCAGCCGACCAAGGAGCAGCTGGAGAAGCTGGGCCGGAGGAAAGCCCTGGAGGAGGAGCTGCAGGACCTGGAGCTGGACTTGTGAGGGGGGGCCGTCGTGGGGCCGGCGTCCCCAGCGCAGGCTGTCTGGACTGAGCGCCGGCCCCTCTTTCCCGGGGTTTTGTTTTGGGTGGGTGCCGTCGTTTTTCCACAACAGTTGTTTTTTGGTTTGTTTCTTTGTTTCCCAGCTATCGGTGTTAGGAAGTCGGCGACTCTCAGATACCTCTCTCCTTTTTAAAGTTTATTCGGGGGAGCCGGGCAGGGCTGGTGCTGCGGGGGAGGCGGGGGCAGCAGCTCTTCCTTGACTTCTTCCCCAGCCCCTCGCATTCTGTGTTACGGCCTGTCGTCCTCTTCTTTTTATTTTTAAGAACGCAATAATAAAATTGCAGTAGTGACCCGGCGGCAGGAGCTCAGCTCTGCCTTTCCCTGCTGAGGACGGTGCAGGGATCCCCCCGCGCTCCCCAGCCCCCTCAGCCCGCCCAGCCGCAGCTGTGCCAACGCCAGCGTCACTTCTGGGAGCTGCATGGGACACAGCTGCCTTTGTGTCCTGTGAGCAGCGTTGGAGCGTCGGCCCCCTCTTGTGCCCCATTTTCTGGGTGGCCCCGCACTCCAGCTTGGCACCAGCCCACGTCCTGCTGCCCGTCGGGAGGGGCGGCGTATGGGACGGCGCTCGTTCTGCCCCAACCCTGCGCTGGGCTCTGCTGGGGGATGGGGTTTGGGTTCATCCTGCATGGGGCTGAGCAGGGAGAGCTGTGGTCGGTCCCGGGATCGGAGAGGTGGTGCATGGGGATGGAGCTGGGCAGTTTGAGATGGGAGAGATGATGTCCATAAGGGGGCTGGGGGATTCTGGGGGTCGCTGGAGCATGGAGGAGGAGGTGTGGGGGGTCTAGGGAGCTCAGGGCTCACAGATGGGGGGTGTTGGTGGTTTGGGGGATGCAGGAACAGGCAGCCCAGGTGGTCGGTGGAGCTGGGGGCCTCGTGGCAGCAGGAATGGGGGTAAGACAGGTTTGGGAGTCAGAGAGGGGAGCTAGGGGCAGCTGGAGGCATTCGGAACACTGTAGCTCAGGTACAGCAGTGCGTGCACAGCACTGTGTGGGTCCTACAGAAATAGCTGAGGGGAGTTATTTGCTATGAAGTCTTTCCTTGCACTGGCGGGAGAGTGGAGCTGAACGTCTCTGGAGCTGACAGGGAGCAGGGGTCGCAGTGGGTGTGGGGCTGCCTGTGGGGCAGGAGCTCCCATTTACCCTATGAGGATGCCGTGTTATTATTTGCCTGCTTAAAAGGGCAGGTGTGGGGGGGGGACAGCAACCCACAGTGGGTGGGGGGCACAGGGGCCTCTCAGAGGTGGCCTGGAGGCACCGGGGTGGCAAAGGACACAGCGGAGCCACAGCCATCACTGGGGGTCCCAGCCGGGTCCGGGGGGCTGCGTTCTCCAGCTGCTGGTCCCACGAGCTCTGGGGGTGGAAAGGGGTGTCAGTGGTGGTGCGGGGCCCCCCCTGCTCCCCCAGCACAAACTCACCGAGGCCAACGCGATGCACAAACTGTGTGTCACTGGGGCAGGCTGGTGGCGGTGGCTGCACTTGGAGGGGGTTCGGTTCTGCTGGCATTTGGCTTCCTGCTGATGGAGGTGCAGCAGCTGAGGATCACTGTAGGGAGGGGGTTCGGCACCAGCCCCTGCCATCACCCCCAGCCCCATGGCCATCTCCTCGGTCCCTGTGCCGTCCCCATTGCCATCTCCACCTCCCTCATCATTTCCATCACCCTCCGTGTCCCCTTCCCCACCTCCGCTGCCCCACGCTCATCATGCACACCCTATAACAGTTCCCATCCCTGTCCCATCCCAGTTCACTCCTCACCCTATCCCATTCCAACTTCCATCCCCACGCCTATTCCCATTTCCATCTCAAGCCATCCAAGCCTCCATCCCCATGGCCACCCCATCCCGTCCCGTCCCATCCCATCCCATCCCAATCTCTAACCCCGTCCCATTGCCATTCCCACCTCCTCCCCACAGCCATTCCCACCCCACCCCTCCCCACTCCCCTCACCGTTGCTGCAGCAGGACACCAAGCAGGCTGAGCACCGGCCAAAGCCCCAGCACGACCCAGCTGTACCAGCAGAGCTGCCCCACCGCCGCCATCCGCAGCCTCTCGGAGACGTGGAGCACCAAAGCAAACCCCTCCACGAAATAATCCACACACGCCGCCATCACGGCAGCGCCGAGGACGGCAGTGGCCAACGTGGTCAGCGCTTTGGGCCACCGCAGGGCCAGCAGGGCGCAGAGCAACGCCGGGCCCAGCAGGACCCCCACCAGCACCCACGGGCTCAGCGGCGACACCAGCGGTGCAGCAGCTGCCAGCACGGCCGCGGCCAGCAGCAGCCCCAGCAGCAGCCCGGTGGAGAAGAGCCCGACGCTGCGCAGCAGAGCGGTGACCAACCCGCAGAGCGAGCCGATGGCCAACGCGATGCCTGCGCTCACCTCCAGGCTCAGCCGTGTCTCCAACACGCGCTCCTTGTAGCACAGCAGGAAGATGGTGCTGGAGCCCAGGAGCAGCCCCGAGGTGAACATGATGGCTTTGAAGCAGCGATGGCCTGCGGGGGATGTGGGGCTCAGTGGGGGCTGCGCTGCGGTGTCCCTGGTGCCACCCCCCAGCTGCGCCCCGTGGACGCATCCTGTCCTGTCCCCACTGCCAAACGTGTTCCGTGCAAACGCCCCATTGCACCCCACAGTGCCTCCCGTGCCAGCCCCCGTCCATACACCACGTGTCCCATAGTGTCCCCAGTGCCATCCCCCATGGACACATCCCATCGTGTCCCTAGTGTGTTCCCCTGTGCCATCCCACCCATGCCCAGGGACGCGCACTGTCCTGTCCCCAACGTGTCCCAGTGTCCCCAGTGCCATCCCCCATGGACACATCCCGAGGTGGCCCCGTGTCACACCCCACAGCCTCCCCCTGGTACCTCCTCCCCCTACCCCCGGCGGTGCCCCCCCGGCGCTGTGCCACCCCCACCCCTCACCAACGCAGCCATAGAGAAGGCCGAGGACGCAGCCGAGGGTGCAGAGGACCGCCGGACCGGGCTCATAGTGCAGCCATGGCTCCAGGCGGCAACGCGGCTCCGCGGGGGCTCCGGGCTCCATCCCGGGCCGGGGAAGGGGGCGGGCGGGGGTGAGGCTGTGCTGGGGGCGGTGGAAGCGCCCAGAGGGAGCCCCGCTCCGCTCCCCCCCATTCGCGCATCTGGCGGCGGGGCCACATCTGGGGCGGGGAATCGGAGGAGGGCGGGAGGGGCCGGGGGGAACGGGGGGCTCTGAGAACATCGGGAGCAGTGGGAGGGGGTCGGGAGGGGCGAACTCTGGAGCCACCGCGGCTGCAGAGTCGACTCCATTGCTGGGGACACAGAGTGAGGAACTACGGGGGGGTGTGTGCTTGGGGGGGGGGGGTGTCTTCGGGACACACTCGTGTACCCTGGGACAGCCCAGAGCATTCCTAAGGTCGTCCTTGCGACCCCCTTCCCCCCCGCAGAGGACTTCCAGGATCCCCATCGGCACCCAGGACCCCCCCCAGCCGCTCCCGGAGCTCCACACGTGGCCCGAAGCAGCCGCGGACCCCCGGCACCACCCGGACCCGCGGGCACCGCTATGCTGCCCCCTGCTGGACAAGGGGAGGCATCGCACGATCAGCGGGGCGCCGCTACTCCGTGCCGTTGTGCGCATGCGTGAGGCCGTCTGGAGGACCTGGAGCAGCAGAGTTGGGCGGACTGTCGGCGCAGAGCGGTAACTGCACAGGGATTCAGCGCGAATCTATCGCTTCTCTAAGACCAAAAGCATGGAGCCGGCCGGAGCGGGAGCACAGGGCGGTGCGCAATGCCGTGTGCACGAACGGCGAAACCGAGCGGACCACTCCCATAGAGATCCAGGACGGCAACCCCCAGCACAGCCCACGCACAATAAGCCAGAGCCAAACCTGTGAACGTTGCAGCTTTATTGAGCCCCACAGTGCAGCAGCCCAGAAAGGCACTCATTGGAATCGATCAGTACTCCTCCCCATCCTCCTCGCCCTCCACGCTGTCAGCCCCCACCTCCTCGTAATCCTTCTCCAGGGCAGCCATGTCCTCCCGGGCCTCTGAGAACTCCCCCTCCTCCATGCCCTCCCCCACGTACCAGTGCACAAAGGCTCGCTTGGCGTACATCAGGTCAAACTTGTGGTCCAGGCGCGCCCAGGCCTCGGCGATGGCCGTGGTGTTGCTCAGCATGCACACGGCGCGCTGCACCTTGGCCAGGTCCCCCCCGGGCACCACGGTGGGCGGCTGGTAGTTGATGCCCACCTTGAAGCCGGTGGGGCACCAGTCCACAAACTGGATGCTGCGCTTGGTCTTGATGGTGGCGATGGCGGCGTTGACATCTTTGGGCACCACGTCCCCGCGGTACAGCAGGCAGCACGCCATGTACTTGCCGTGCCGCGGGTCGCACTTCACCATCTGGTTGGCCGGCTCGAAGCACGCGTTGGTGATCTCGGCCACCGACAGCTGCTCGTGGTAGGCCTTCTCGGCAGAGATCACCGGGGCGTACGTGGCCAGGGGGAAGTGGATGCGCGGGTAGGGCACCAGGTTGGTCTGGAACTCCGTCAGGTCGACGTTCAGAGCACCGTCGAAGCGCAGCGAGGCCGTGATGGAAGACACGATCTGGCTGATGAGGCGGTTCAGGTTGGTGTAGGTGGGGCGCTCGATGTCCAGGTTCCTGCGGCAGATGTCGTAGATGGCCTCGTTGTCCACCATGAAGGCGCAGTCGGAGTGCTCCAGCGTGGTGTGGGTGGTGAGGATGGAGTTGTAGGGCTCCACCACGGCCGTGGACACCTGCGGGGCCGGGTAGATGGAGAACTCCAGCTTGGACTTCTTGCCGTAGTCGACCGACAGCCGCTCCATCAGCAGCGAGGTGAAGCCGGAGCCGGTGCCGCCCCCGAAGCTGTGGAACACCAGGAAGCCCTGCAGCCCCGTGCACTGGTCAGCCTGCGGGGACACAAGAAGGGGTCAGGTGGGATCCAGGCAGCTGCGCAGCTCGGCCCTTCCTCTCATGGCCTCGTGAGGACATTCTGGAGGTGCTGCTTTTGGGGGTCTCTGGGGGTAGGAGGCACCAGGGTGATGGGGCACCAGCCGTTGCAATCTGCCCCCTTGAGGCATGGATCCCTTTTGGGGACACCGCCTGTGCGGTGGTGGCACTGGGCAGACTGGGGGAAAATGCAGGAATTGGGGTTCAGAGCAGCTCAGCCTCAGCCATGGCCTCGCATCCCACGCTTGTGCACCAGGTGATGCCTGTCCTGAGCCATCCTGCTTCAAGCTGATGTGCCAGCATCGCCTGCAGCACAGCCAGCAGCACCACAGCTCTGCTGCTGGTGTGGGAATAGAAGTTCAAAGCAAT